GTGGAGGGACCACTTTAAGGGAGTCGCAATCATAGAGGATAGAGGGAAAAAAAAAAAAAAAAAAAAAAAGAAAACGACAAAGTTACAGCTGTGACGGTGACCCCACTACTACTACCACCACCAACGACAAGGATGCTTTTTCTTCCTTGGGATTCACGGTCCTCCGATGTTATTCAGCCTAATATTTTCCATGTGTTTCTGAATGCTTCCAAAAAAAAAAAAAAAAGCATACCAATAAAAATAACAACAACGACAACAATAATAATAATAATAAGAATAAGTTGAACGGTATAGCTATAAACGTCAATGCAAATAAAAGTTTTATTGCACAATCCATTAAGAAAAAAAGGAAAAAAATGCCCCTATTTGTTTTTAATTCATTCGAACAGTGAGTACAGTTTAAACTCATATTTAATAAGTATAGAGTCTGCATTATATCTCTATTTGAACTGAGTTAAATTATCCAACTTAGTACCTATTTGGTTCGCAGGTTTAAATTGTGTTGATTTGAACAGAAAAATTAAAACAATATAGTTTAAATAGTAGTTTGAACTGACCTCAAAAGCAGAGCGGAGAAAAACGTGTGAGTGGGTTACTGTAGAAGAATGGTTTGAAAAGTAGAATTGAAGGGGGGCTTAAACTGGACATTCAGTTCAAACAAATAGACTTACCAAACGCCTTTTTGGACTTTGCAGCCGCTCAAAATGGGTTGAAACGGTGAACCAAACGCACGCTTAGAGTTTAATTCCCCTTTAAGTTCAGTTATTTAAGCTATTTTTAAACAGTAAAAATGTGCTTAATTACTCTCTATCTTTGTTTTTCATACCTACTAAACACAAATTCAAATTTTATTCTCTGTTTAGATTAAAAATTTAACTGCGCATCCAAACACCAATTTCAACTACAATTTAAACCACACAATTCGAATTTTTCTATTCAAACAAAAAAGATTAAATCAACAAATTAAACGGGTGCAATATATACACAACATTTCTGTCTTAATCATCACCCTTTAACTTTATCACTCATTTGTTATACGAAATTAATTACATGAAAAGTTTTTGTAAGATCAAGAGGATAATTGGAACCAATTTCTTTCCTTTCTTTTATTTATTTATTTATTTATTCATTTTGTCTTGTGTCAACCAAACACACCAATATTTTTAGAAGACTAATATATATGAGTATGTGTATGTGTGTATATATATTTATTTATTTACGAGTTTTACCTAATTTTGCTGGCGAATTATATTTATTAAGTTATCTTGTAGATGGTGCGGATTTCGTAGGTCTCACTCTACTAATTTCTCCTAGTTGGTAACTCTATAATAGTGATGTGCTTTTTGTATGTTTCGAGCAAGGAAAAAAAAAAGCAAAATAGAAGTAAAATATTATATATAATTGATGAAATTTTGTTCTACTCATTAGTCATTACACAGAGTATAGTTTGTTCACAACCCTAAAAGCCTAGAAGAACTTTGAAAAAAAAAAAAAAAAAAGGCTAGAACCATCTCAAAAAATATGCACTAACCATTAAGCAAATATTGCAGCCATTCCACAATCAAACGAGACATCAAGTATATTCATAAAAAAAACCCTTTTGCACCTTTGAAATGTTATAAAGGTTGTGCTAACTATAGAAAAGGTTGTGATATGGTTCACCATCCATAACTTGTTCTCAAGCAATATATATATATATATATATCATATACATTAATGTTGAAAATTAAAAAGAAAATGAAAGCTTGGTGATTAAATAATTTCCACATGTAAGCTTTTAATTTAATTTATCTAAATAGCTAGAAATTAATGAGTGATTAATTACACCTTTTCTGAACAAAAAAAGAAATAAATGAGTGATTCCTTGAAAGTCTCAACAAGAATATAAAAACCATAAATGGATAAAATACTTTCTTGCTTCCAACGCAAGAATTCACAAGTAAAAACAAAAGGGAACCTAAGAAAGAACCTTTCTTCTATAGACAATGTATGCAATTGGTTAAATTCTTCTTTTTTCTTTTTTTTTTTTTCTTTTTTCCTTTTCTTCTCGTTCTTCCCTCCTCTATTCTTTTGGAAGCAAATTGGCTAAAATATTCCAATTAATAATACATGTCAACATCTGCATTCTCCAAGAATTGTTTTTTTCTTTTACCAAAAAAAAAAAAAAAGAATTTTTTTTCTGTCCCCATGTGGGACCAATTGATGGAAAACTTTGTTAATTTCACGAAATGGGGCCCTCCACCACTAATAACCTAACAACTACTTTTTTTTTTTTTTTTTTTTTTTATACTAACAAATACTCCTGATCATTTAGTGATATACTCTAATATGTGCCACAAAATCAAATTATGTTTAAAGACACGGAGAATACTGACGTTGCCGCTTGAAGCATCCATGCAACTGTTTTTGAAGGATCAAACGGCTTGGATTAATCCATCTCAATGATTTGCTGGTTGATTAGTGGGCCAAGAATCCACAACTAAATGCCATGTAATATCCTTTACAACAAGTTGGCGATGATTCATATTTGCATCCCAACAAACGGGTTCCTAAGGTATCCATATTCATTATGTTCATTACATTAATAAGAATTAATATTTTTTTAAAAAATAAAATACAACAATATCGATTACTAATATCATGGTCTTACAAATACTTGCCTTTTATCTTTTGAAAAATAGAAATTTGCCTTTAAAAAAAAAAGAAAAAATTGGTGAAATTGATATTTTCATAAACAGGAAAAGGACCGAAAGCTGAAAAACATAATAAACCGGCCAAGGAGGCGGAACAGTGACATCTCAACCCTCAGCCGACTTTTCTTAAACCACAAACAAAACATTGAGATAATACATACATACATACATACATATATATATAATATATATATATATAAAGAAAGCTGGTTTGTTGATCAAATTGGTGGCTCATAAATACATACATACACACACATATATATAATAATATTATTTTGATTAGAGAATCCCCTTATTGATTGGAAGGCTATTTTGTTCATATTAAATCGATTTTTTAGGTGTTTGATTGGCCTTCTGGATGAGTTTAGCGTGATCAGTCGGTTAGATTGAGATTGAAATAAACTTAACTTGACATGACTAAATTCTTATATGGATTTATTTGTCTGTAAATAAATAGTTAAAAAGAAGGAATCTTTTTTTTTTTTTTTTTGCAACAATATATTCATCTTATAGACATTGCAGAAAAAAGATATTCCTTTTCTTTTTATAATTATACCTATCGGATATCTATGATCATTAATTATGCCTAGGTTATTCGTATACTTAGCTTGTAGAATTGAGGTCTCTCTCTATGTATGATATGTATAAATCTTTGAAATTTCTCCGTGTGTACATACATACATACATACATATATATATATATATTATATCTTATAGCTTTTAGAATGGAATTGAGTCTATAAACTTATAATAATCTCGCCTCGTTAGCCGTTAAGATATTTAAGTGACAAAAATGTTGAATAAACGCACTTAATTAATTATTAAATACTAAGAAATAGTTAACCCCTAAACATATAATATGTTAAACAAAAGAGAAAAAATATTTTGGCATGACATTTTAAATGTTCAAATATATTTGTTTGCGTTTCTTAAACATTTTTTTTTTGTTCGATTACATACGCAACCTCATTTTTTTTTATGCTCAAACACTTGATCGATGGTTTTAAATAAATTGAAGGCCATATCTATATCTATATGTATATATATTTGGTGCTTTGTCTTTCGTGTAGACTCTTTCTTTAAAGAAGAAAAATATCAAATATTATTTAATTAGATAGTGACACGTCTTTATCTAGTAGATGTTATTAAATCTTCAACTATACATATTTGTTAGACAACAACTTAACAAGGAAGCTCTGAATTGACCTGCAAACAAGATCAAATTAAGTTAGTATTTATAAAGTACTGTAGATTTAATCAATCTGCGAATATTATCAGCTAAAAAAAAAAAAAAGAAAGAAAGAAAAAGAGAAAAAATTTGATACATATAGGTGCAGAGGCAGTACATGATGATCTTATGTTCGTACCAAAGAACTTAAGAGTGAATCTTTTGTTTAACAATCAGCATAAACTTTAACAGTGACCGTAAGTTTGTGATAATGTGAAAGCTATGTGTTGTTATAGCCGACAATATTCATCTCATGGAAGCAAGTGCTCCGTTTATGAATACACAAACTGTGGCATGTCCCAATCAGTTCCTTAATTAGTAGTTGGTTGGAATTATATTAAAAAATATATATATTAATATAATCCGAATAAAAATAAAAACCAACAATTATTTTTTTCCCCTCTTCTTTTCTGATAACTACCTAAGAAATTTCTGTACCTAATCAGGATTAGACATGACCCCTAATCAAAAACCCAGTTTGAGCTGGACCCTCTATGCTTAAGTTAAGCTGAATTAAGGCCAAAATTAACAAACCCCGCCCAAAATAATAAAAAAAAAAACACGAGAGAAATAAAAAAGAACAAAAAGCAATCAAATTGTCAGTGAAGGCCACAGAAACAGCTTTATCTTCTTTCTTTTTCTGACCTCGCTTCCAAACCCTCCTTTAATTGTAATGGTACTATAGCCTCCATCTGCCCTCTCTCTCTCTCTCTCTCTCTCTCTCTAAGCCTGAACTCCTCAGTTCTCAATGACACAATAGATCAAACGAAAAACCAAAGCTCGAAAAACCCTTCTCTCTCTCTCTCTCTCTCTCTCTCTCTTCTTTCATGCTTTTGCCCTTACCATTTTTCTCTCTCTTTTTCTGTGTGTATGTAAAATCTTTGTATTCGGTCAGAAACGGTACAGAAAGTTTTGTGTCTCAGATCCCGATAATAATAATAATATATAATAAGGTTTGGCCTGTCACTGCATGATTTCTCTTACGCCATTAACGATTAAAACTGTCCAATAACATAATCCTCCTTCTTCCCTCTCTTTCTCTCTCAAGAACCCCAACTCTCTCCCTCTCTCTCTCTTCTTTTAACCCCCAATACAAAATAAAGTACTAGTATAGTACTTCTTGTGAATAATACCAAGTGCCCTTTTGAAGATTACACACACACACACATATATATAGATATATAGACACACAATATGCAAGAAGCTGGGGGTTTGGGAATGATGGGGAGTGGCGGCGCCGGTGGTGAATTGTCGGTCTCCGGCGGTGGCGGCGACGGCGGAGACCGGCAACTGAAGGCGGAGATCGCCACGCACCCGATGTGCGAGCAGCTAATTGCCGCCCACGTGTCGTGCCTTCGAGTCGCCACGCCGATCGACCAGCTGCCGCTCATCGACATGCAGCTCTCGCAGTCCCACCACCTTCTCCGCTCCTACGCCTCCCTCCAACATCAACACGGCCACTCCCTCTCGCCGCACGACCGCCAAGAGCTCGACAACTTCTTGGTACGATATTCAAAAAAAGAAAATCCTTATCGGTAGTGTATGTTTTTCTATTTATTTTTGTTTTTTAAGCGATTCCATCACTTTGTCTTGCTTATGATGCGATCCATTCACATCACAAGCGCTTTTTTTTTTTTTTTAAAGGTAAATTTTGTTTGAGCATTTTGTTTATATGATGAGGATTTTTTTGTTTTTGTTTTTGTTTTTTGTTTTTGGGTGTACTATATATTTACAGGCGCAATACTTGATAGTATTGTGTACTTTCAAAGAACAACTTCAGCAACATGTCAGAATCCATGCGGTTGAAGCAGTCATGGCTTGCCGGGAAATAGAGAATACTTTACAGGCACTCGCTGGTAATATATATGTTTATTCATATGCACTTAATTCCCATCTTAATTCTGTTTAACATGAAAATTAATGTCCTCAAAACGTTCATAATTATACCACCATCATCATATTGTTATTGTTTTTACTTTTGGTTAGATTTATTATTATTATTATTGTTATTATTTTTTGCTGTGGAAAAAACAATCAATCTAACCAAAAGTAAAAACAATGATAATGTATTGATTTGTGATATATGAGTGTAGACCACAATAATTATATCCTTAATTACGTAACTAGACACAAAGGGAAAAACAATTCATGACCATTGTTACTTGTTTAAGAAATCGTAATAATTAGTTCTAGCTGATCTTTCTTCATTTTGATTTTTGGTGAGTTGGGTATGGATCAAGATGATAAATTATGGCTATTTGGGGTTGTTATTTGTAAGATTGGGTGTCCCCGCGAGAGGTGGGTGTGGTAGGGTCTCTATTAACATAAATAATCAAAGATTATAGTTGGGAAATAGGTTAGTTAGTTTGGTGGTACTTGATAGAATAGGGTTACCATCAATATATCGCACTATATATACCAACTTATATAGATATAATTAACTCTTTTTTTATCTTTTGGACTACCAACCGATAAGGTTGCAATGGGAATATTTGGGGTTCTAGAAGATTATTTAAATTAGTTCCTAATGCATGAACTTTGGTTGTTGGCGTATATATCCATATATATCTTGGAAGGTTTGGTTCATTAGGTATCAATGGCCATCTAGAGGCATATAGAATTTTGTAGCCAATCAACTAATTCTAAATGTTTATTGCATTGAGATTTTAGTACATTAAACTTTATTATAAGGTTAACCTTACAAAGGGTGTCGTTAATTTGAAGTAAATAAGAAGTTAACAAACTAGCTAATTGATGATGATCAGTTTTAGGCGAAAAAGGTCTTGTTATGTTTTTGTCATTTAGTGGATTGGATATATATATATATATATGCAATTTAATTGGATGCTTATCCATTGGATTATAACAATAACCTTGAGAGCACTAAATTATTTTAAACATTTTTCCCTATAGAATACCGAGAATCATATATAGCCTTTTAGAAATCCGACCCCAGAAGCTTCGTACTATCATAATATTGTTCATATATATCTTGGAAGTTGGATCCATGGATAGAGACGTATAATTTGGTATATCGAGCTTAAAAAAAAAAAATTATATCTTTAGGGCATGCTCTTTAGTTCAAATTTTAAGACGAAAATAGGAATGCTCAGTCCTCGCAAGACAGGCTAGAGATAAATTGTAGAATGTGAACTCTCGTTTTAAACGGGGAAAAAATTGAAATTGAGAAAGAGGAAAAAAAAAGGGTAAATACATACATACATATATAATCAGGCATTCACATGAAGAGTATTGGGCTTCTTCGAGAGAGTTATGTATGATATAATGAGAAGATATTGAATCTAATATGCATGCTGTCGGATATATGTATGTAACTATATATGTGTGTGTGTATCGAGTACTACCACTTTAACAGCACAATTCATATTTCATTGCTGTATGATGAACTAATTAGCATCTCTTGCATGCGGAACTTTTAAGGAAATTAACACTAACTTTAAGGTTACAATATATAGTTGACGAATACATGGTGCCCAGACTAAATGATCACGGAGTTAAAACACTAAAAAAAGGCAAATATATAGAAAACAAATGAACTAACGAATTATAGCAATTTGGATGCAAATACATGATACTTCTCAGGAGTAAGTCTAGGAGAAGGTACAGGCGCAACAATGTCAGACGATGAGGATGACCTACAGATGGATTTCTCTTTCGATCAATCCGGCGCCGACGGGCACGACATGATGGGATTCGGTCCGCTACTTCCGACGGAATCGGAAAGGTCGCTAATGGAAAGGGTTCGGCATGAATTAAAGATTGAACTGAAGCAGGTGATCCCCAGCTTCTTCTTTGAACTCTAATTCAAGATATAATTATTTTTTTTGTGTGTATAACGTACTTAAGTACTCTTGTTGAAAAAAAAAAACGCCATATATAACCACTTTTTGATTGGTATTTGGTGTTAAATAATGCCTTGGAATCATTGGAGTTACATTATTCTTTATCCAGGGTTTCAAGTCAAGAATTGAAGATGTGAGGGAAGAAATATTAAGAAAAAGAAGAGCCGGGAAATTGCCTGGGGACACAACTACGGTGTTAAAGAATTGGTGGCAACAACATTCTAAGTGGCCCTACCCTACTGTAAGCTAGCAAATTAATTAATTCATGTTTATAACATTGTGCAAGTATTTTATTATCCACTATCGCAAGTTTTTTTTTTTTTTTTTTTTTTTTTGATCAAATTAGATTTTCTTAATTTTTTTTAGATTATCATTAATCTTTTAGCTAATCATAAATTGGCACATAAAACTAAAGCCTGTTTGTTTTGCTCGTTTGAACCACGGTAATTTAAATCTTTTTGCTATAGTGTTTTGTCTTACAAAATTTGAATTTTTTGTTCAAAACCGATAAAACAAACGGGTCATAAATAAGCTATGTTTATAGGCAAAAGTTAGCATATTTAGGTACACTATTAATTAAGAATAGGAAGAAAACCAGCAATACCATCTCAAGATGGTAAAACGTATTATTTATATGTGCAGCTCTATTTAAAAATAAATAATCGGCATTCAATTAATAAAAAGAAAATAAAATGCCACAATAACACTATTATTTAGAATGACATAAGTCTCTACAAAATCATGCCAAACCATGTAATTTCCTCACTAAAGAATCATGAATATATATGCATTACATTGCCTTAAAATAAGGGGCTCACTATTTAATTATCATAAACTGTAAGGTTTTTTCCTTTTTTATAAACTTCCTATACTAGCTACAACAAGAAACATGCATTATGTCACTTTGTGTAGAACATGTTAGGGATTTCAGGCTATTTTAAAAACTTTTTTTTGTACCAAGTGATACGAATATAAATTATTAATTTAATTGAAGAATATACAACAATAACTTGGGTTCTTTATCATTATCCATTTCTAAACTATTATGCACAAATGCATGTAGATCTTTACTTATGATAATCGTGAAATTATGTAGAGAATTGGTTGGCGTGAAAACTTACAATTGAAACATACAGGAAGATGACAAGGCAAAGCTTGTGGAGGAGACAGGATTGCAGCTGAAGCAAATCAACAACTGGTTTATCAACCAACGAAAACGCAACTGGCACAGCAACTCCCAATCAGTCACATCTCTCAAGTCTAAGCGCAAAAGATAAATTCCGTTCCATTGGTGGTCCCGGGATTTCCAAAGTGATGGAGGGCGTGGGAGACAGGATGACACCAATGATTTTATTTTTATTGAGCAAAACAAAATATATATATATATATATAACTCATCATCATCATCTTATAACTTTGTTCCAAACCAGGATCAGCAGCAAACACAACGAACTAATTACTTTGTTATAATGTTGTCGTATATGCCTTGCGGGTACAATATAGTTTGTAGATTTTGTGAATTATGCAGAAGTACTGAAGAAACTACACTTTACAAAGCTAGCTATCCAAGATACGTACGCCTTTGGAAGTTTGATCATCACGAGTTACTCAAAACGTGCCATCAGTGCTGCACAAATATTGTAACAGATCCATCGTATATTGGTCAACTAATTGCTTACTTTTTTTATTGTAAATTCTTATTGATTTCCCTGTATTAGACTAGTTCTGTCCTGTTTTATATTGATCTTACCAGCTTGGATTTGCTTTCATAAATCGACTTTACAATTTCAAATTTGTTTTAGATTAGTGTGACAATACAGTATACTTCTTTCATGTTCTTTGTTCTTAATATAATGCCATAACATTATTGATAAATTTATATTCTGAATGAATTACTATATATATAGAGATCACTAATCATCTATCAAGACTTTTTGCACTTGAGAGATGTGACAAATATTGAACTGTTAATTTGCAGTTGCTAAAACAGAAATTTTATAAGTAAATTCAGTAAATGAGAAATGAGAATTCACTTGCTACTTTCCTTAACATACAAAGTTTTGTAAGAAAAAACTTGATATTGTTTGTAATTGTTATATGGGAAAGAAAGAAAGAATAATTGACGATGCGCCTTTTAATCCCTTAAAAAAAATAAAAGCAAATTCTTCAAAAGAGACGATTAAAATAATGATCCACTAGAGCATTGTTACATGTAAACGGATACTAAAAGATTTCCATACGTAATATAGAAAACAAAATCATTCATAAAGCTAATGAATTAAGAATCAAAGATGCACTTAGGATATTTTCAATTGGCTAGGTAGCTCAATGTACTATTGCAATAATTTAGGAACTATGCCGGCTAATTATATGTTTCCATACCCTAAGGAAGGATCAAGTTATTACTCACTACTTAAGTTTATTATAGTTTATGTTTCGCGGCCCCAAAATTCTGATATAATAAGTCAGGAATGAGAATCTAAAATGCTCAAGAATTGGTGGTGGTGGCGGCGGCGGCGGTGGGGTGCCCACTGCTGCCGTGGCATTTTTTATCTTTCACAACGAGCTTCTCAAAACCAAAACCTTAATGGTTTATAATTTTTACAATTTTTTTTTAGCATTATACCTAATTAGTATTAGTACTTAATTAATAGATTTATTCCGTAGGTTGTAAAGGGTAAATTCATCAATTCTTTGAGAGAGTACATGTTCTTCTGATCCGGCGCTTCTACATGAAACTCTTTACATAGTCATGGGCATATTTGTCATGGAACTTCTTGTACTTCATGCTGTGGAATCCATGGCCGGCTCCGCGGAAGACGTGATGCATATTTCCTAAAAATATGTGTCCGTCCAAAGTTTGCCAACAATATTTGTTGACACTTTTTTAAGCATCGAGTTAAATCAAGTGTAGAATAAAGTTGAATAATCAGATATTAATTAAGATTCCATTTAGTATATATAAATTATTTTATTATGATATGATAACATCACCATTAGTTTTTGTCATCCCTAAATTGGGGATAGGTTTTATCACTTTTCGTTAATGTCAGTAAAGCTGAGTAATACTACATTTATCATCTATGCACTAATAAAACTACACAAAAAAATTTAGTAAATAACAACTTGTTTGTAAGCTTCAGATAAACTGCATAAAAATTTAGTAAATTTAGTAAATTTAGTAAATAACACCATTAGTCTTTATCAATATTTGTACAAAGCAAACTGATAAAGTAAAAGCTTCAGATCTTTTTTTGCTAATTTGTTTGTAAGCTGATAAATTCCAGCTACAACTTTCTTTAATTAGGTCAAATAGGACTAGTTTCTGAATCGTTCTAAAAGTGTACGATGAAGATCATATAATTTGAAGAAAAATGCTTGGGTACCCCTAATGCTAAATATACCACTAATAGAAGTGGTCTGCACCAATGAATAGGAGCCACTTTCGATTAGTGGATGATGTTTAACACTATTTGTGCCTTATAATATTGTTCTTTTTTGAAATTCTAAGTTCTAAAGCGTAAGTACTGCTACTTTCTGCGGTCTTACTTTTCCCCAATATTATTCATTGATTGTGGATTGACCCTACTTACTTCTTTTATTTGTTTGCTATTTGATTCAACTTACCTTTTCTTTTTTTGCTGTTTCACATTCAACATTACCTAATTACATATGGCCTTGTTCTTGTACGTGTACCGCTGCCATGAAGGTGGAAAACACAACTTATCAAGACATTCTTCCTATTTCTTTTCTGATCTCTTTTTCCACTACACATACATTTTTTCCTCTTTTTCCGCTGCACATGTAAGTTTTCTTCCTTTAAGGTTATTCTTCTTTTGTTCTTCACAAATTTTCAGCTAATTTTTTAGGGGTTCTTTTATGCTACTAGGATACTTTTTCCCGGCACCGTGTCGGGAGATACGATAATTTATGAAATTTTACGTTAGAATTTACAAGCTCAAACGATAAAGTTGCAAAAGTTACGATAAACTTGTGAATTTTGAAGGAATACAATGAATCATTCGAGTTTGCAAGTTCTAACGTAAACTTCACAAGTTATCGCATTCTTTTAAAATTCATGTTTATCGTAACTTTTACAACTTGATTGTTCGAGTTTGTAAGTTCTAACATAAAATTTCATAAATTATCATATCTCCTAGCACGGTGCCGGAAAGTTTTCTCCCAGCACCATAAAAGTTCTCATTCTTTAGACTATTCGAAGTGGTTTTTTTTTTAGTTTTTTTTAGTTTTTTTGTTTGGTTTTAAACTTGAAGCTTTCATTAACTAGTTTAACCGGATTCAAGTTGTGGATGCTGTTACTAAATCCAACATAGTAGGATTGATCAACATGATCCTTACTGGGCCGGCAGGGCCCAATATATATGTATGTATATGTGTGTGCCTATATATATATATATATGTATATGTATTATGTATATATTACAATCTAGAAGACTAGAACCTCAATTATCACGTTGATTACAGCCAAAAAGTATAATCAAATCTCTTCGTGGAAGTTACTAGCCGGCACTGCCTGCATGTGAGTTAATTTTGCTTTGAAAAAAGATGAAGAAAACTAGGGAACTTTTATATTTGGTGGATTTTTTAGTATAGTTTGGAAAGATAACCCGTCATCTTCATTAGATTTTGTTAAAATTTCATATCGATTCTGATTTGATTTTACTGTTAAAAAAATATATTTGAACTCAGTTTCCTATTAATATAATATGATATTATTATGAATAATAACTGTCCACCTTAATTAAGATTACTATGCAAGATGATCACTTAAAGATAATCGGTCATCTTCATTAGATTTATGTAAATAGTAACCCTGAATAGTGTTAAATTTTTTTTTATAAATAAAATTCTAAAACTCTTTATTTTATATACCTTAACAAAATTAATAAAATCTCTATCTAATTTCGGTCTCTAAAATTTTTTCTTTTTACATTTTCTTAATTTTCATAACCGATATTATTTTCTTTAACTTAACGTGAATTTTTTCCTTTATATTATCCTGTACTAGACTTGAATTCTGTGGTCCCAACTCGCAATGAATTTTCCAAGTGGCCAAACAAAAATATCTATTTCCCATCTTCCTCCCCATTGGCCAATGTCCCGCACATGATACATCCACATTAATTGACTTTGTCTCGTCATGAATGACGACTTTATCCAACGGTTGATATTCCATCTCTTGAGAACTCGGCGTTGACCGTTTATTAAACTGACTTGCTATTGGTTTCTAATGACATATTCTATCTCGGGTATTGCTCTTCTAGACTTCTATCTATTCACATTTATTGCACTAAGTATTCATTTTTTCAAATTTTTTGGTCCAATTTCCTGCCAAACTTTCACATATGTGGTCAAGCCTGCCATCTTGAGCTCTCATTCTTTTAAGCATTCAAAGCATCATATTATATTACCACTATTCATTTTTCTCATTTCAGATCATATATGCAAATAGGGTAGTGCTAAATCATGATTTTGAAGCTTCAAATTTGCAAAATCTGAAGAACTCATCATATCTTGATGTGTTAGTGCTGGAGGTTGACTTTCTGATATATATCACAGTTCATAACATCATCAATTCCTTTCCTTGTCTCTTTTATTTTTCTTTTTGTCAATTTTCTCTGAAACTCTATTGTCATGGCTCATTCAATGTTCGCCGGATCATTGTCGTTCGGAGGCTCGCACCACGGCCAGGCTCAAGAAGAATTGCCCTTCAAGACCACCAAGGAGTCCCTAAAAGTCCTGCTTCTACATGGCAACTTGGAAATGTGGATTGTGGAGGCCAAAAACCTTCCCAACATGGACATGTTCCACAAGACTCTAGGTGACGTGTTTGGAAAATTCGGAAAGTTAAGCACGAAAATCGAAGGCCACATGTCGAACAAGGTGACGAGCGATTCCTATGTCACGGTGTCGGTTGCAGGCGCCGTGGTTGCCAGAACCTTTGTGATCACCAACAGTGAAAACCCGGTTTGGAAGCAGCATTTTGATGTTCCTGTGGCACATTATGCCTCAGAAATTCACTTTGTGGTGAAAGATAATGATGTTGTGGGGTCTCAACTAATAGGAGCTGTGGGAATTCCGGTTGAGAAGTTGTGTTCTGGCATGAAGATTGAAGGGACTTTTCCAATTCTCAATGGCAGTGGAAAGCCCTGCAAGCCAGCAGCTGTTTTAAGCCTCTCAATTCAGTTCACTCCAATGGAAAAAGTGCCACTGTATCACCCTAAACCAAGCTCAAATTCCGATTTCCTTGGGGTTCCCGGGACCTACTTTCCTTTAAGGAAAGGAGGGAAAGTTACCCTTTATCAAGATGCTCATGTTCACGGCTGTGGCCTTCCGAATTTGCAGCTTGACAATGGCGTTCGGTACGAGCACTCGAGTTGTTGGAACGACGTCTTCGAGGCGATAAGTCATGCGCGCCGGTTGATATACATTGTTGGTTGGTCTGTTTACCACAAAGTTAGGCTGGTTAGGGATGGCAAAAATGCAACAGAAAGCATGTTAGGAGAACTTCTCAAGACCAAGTCTCAGGAAGGTGTTAGAGTGCTTCTTCTCGTTTGGGACGATCCAACTTCTAACACCATGTTGGGATTCAAAAAGGTAAAATAAGATTAATGTTGTTGTTTACTATATTTTTTTTTATTTTCCTGTCCCTTACAAAATGCAAATTCCAGCATAAATTTATTGGAGTCATATATTTTCAAGTCAAATCAGTACTTACCATTATTGAATTGTTGATTGGTTTGTATGACATGAAGGACGGAATCATGGGGACGTTTGATGAGGATACTCGTCGTTTCTTCAAACACTCTTCTGTTCAAGTCCTACTTTGCCCTCGATCTGCAGGAAAGGGATATAGCATTGCTAAAAAGCAGGTCTGATACAGAAAACAAGTACCATATTTATATTTATGTTGCTATAACCACATGTTGATTATTTCTTTTTTTTTTAGATCATGATCTAATTCTAACTTATAAGGCTCGATGGTCAAAAAGCCTGGAGTCTTTTCAGTACGATCGAACTTAGAATACTGGGTTTTATAGCTGATTCTAGAACGGTGCCTAACTAATAGATTACACTCAGTGTCGGAGCCACATTGTTGTCGGACGAGGGCTCAACTTTTGGAATTTTTATTTTTGTCCACAAAATTTTAGCCATGCCCTTATTTTCCCTCACCTAGTAATTAAACTGAAAGATATAACTATATCTCTATTTAGTAAAATTCTTTGTTATTATTATTTTTTTTCCCGTGGTGCCCCCACTGAAAAAAACCTCAATCTCCGCCACGGACTACACTTATATAAGCATGTTAATTATTTGTTGAAAAGTATTGAAAGTGGTACTATATCTTATTAGTCATAATTCTTCTTTTGGGGTCTTCTATCTTTGTCTAATCATGTTCTACCTTAAACTATCAGAAGAGTTAATGAATGTTTGTTTCTGTACTAATTATGTTCTGAATCAGTGTTCTTGCTTTGATTCCCCATTGGTTTATCTCAGGAAGTAGGGACAATCTACACCCACCATCAGAAAACAGTAATTGTTGATACTGATGCGGGTAACTACAAGAGAAAGATCACAGCTTTTGTTGGAGGCCTTGACTTATGCAAGGGCCGTTATGATACTCCACACCATAATATTCTCCGCGGCTTGGAAACGGTGCACCAAGACGACTTTCATAACCCGAACTTCTCGGTAATCGACTAAATCATCTTCATTATCATTTGCGATAATTAGTGTCAGTGAGTATGCAGGCTTTGTGTTTTTCTCCTTCTCAATCATGTTTTTCTTTGCGCTGTAAAAAATCAGGGGCCTTGTGATGGTTGTCCAAGAGAACCGTGGCATGATTTGCACAGCCGAATCGAGGGTCCTGCGGCATATGACGTCTTGGCCAATTTTGAGGAGCGTTGGTTGAAGACTACGAAGCAAAGAAGCAGCCTCAAAAAACTGACATCATCGTTTGACGATGCGCTGCTCAGCGTCGAAAGGATTTCCGACATCATTCCTATGGATGAAGTTCCTTGCCTAAGTGAGAACAATCCTGAGACTTGGAATGTTCAGGTAATTAAAGCTTCCCTCTGTACTTAAATTCTGCTACTTAGATTTTTATGTCTAACTTTCTATTGTTGTTGTTGAACTTGCTTCCTTGGCATGAAGGTTTTTCGTTCGATTGACTCGAATTCTGCCAAAGGATTTCCAAAGGATCCAAAAGATGCTATAAAGAAGGTGAAGCATGAAGTTGGTGTATTGTTTCTATAACTACTTTATGTTAAAAAGATTGTAGCTTGATGATCAGGTAACATGTTTTCTTCATATGAACAGAACTTGGTATGTGGGAAGAATGTAGTTATAGACATGAGTATACACGCAGCATATGTCAAGGCAATTCGTTCTGCCCAACACTTCATTTATATAGAGAATCAGTACTTCATTGGCTCATCATATAATTGGAGTTCCCAGAGAAACTTGGGTAAGAAAATACTTGGCCATTTAAACACCGATATTAATTCTTAGCACATGCATTTTCTTACTCAACTATGTGCTCTTTCATCTATCTTGAAGTCATAAGGAATACTAAAACTCGAACATGCAGGTGCAAACAATTTGATACCGATAGAAATTGCACTTAAGATTGTGAACAAAATCAAAGCCAACGAGAGATTTTGCGCGTATATTGTGATCCCAATGTGGCCAGAAGGCGCTCCTACTAGCATTACCACTCAAAGAATTCTCTTTTGGCAGGTAAAAAAATCACTCTCATCTTTGTATGTTCGTTTACCGAGTTTTTCGCATATGCTTAAGCTATTAGGAGTCTGGCCGACACTAGAATTCTAACATTCACATTGTGGTATTTTGGTTTTCTGTAGCATAAAACAATGCAAATGATGTATGAAATGATCTACAACGCTTTGAAAGATGCTGGACTTGAGAATAAATATGAGCCACAAGATTATTTGAATTTCTTTTGTCTTGGCAACCGAGAGGCCCCAGATGGTCAAACCCCAAGTGGTGTTGGAGCTTCATGCACAGAAAAAACTCCTCAAGTATATTACTCTTCTTTAAATGTTTCTTTATCTAGATTTAATTTTGTTTTGCCAAGTTACTTATTAACTTTTTATGGTGGCTAAAAATTCAGGCACTCACTAGAAAAAATAGGCGGTTTATGGTTTATGTGCATTCAAAAGGAATGATGGTTGATGATGAGTATGTGATAATCGGATCTGCAAACATCAACCAGAGATCTTTGGAGGGAACCAGAGACACTGAAATAGCAATGGGTGCATATCAACCTCACCATACTTGGGCCACAAAACGCTCATCTCCACATGGACAGGTAAAGAAGAAGCCTTTTTTCATAAGCGAAAATAAATAAATAAATAAAAACTTCTCTCTTATACATTCTTTTGCTTTTGCACGTTGGATTTTTTCTCTTTAAATAAGCCTTAATCAAACAATAAATGTCATAATTGACAAATTTTTTTTTGCTAGAATACAGGATGCTGAGGCTCGTTTTATCTTTTCCGTCCTCTTGTTTTTATTTTCTTGTCGATTATCTTCTTCTCGTCGTTTTATGATTTTTTGTCGTTTTTACAATTTATGTCGCTTTCGTATTGTTGTCGTATTAAAATCCTGTTGTTGTTGGCTCGTTTTATCTTTTCCGTCGTTTTGTATTTATTTTCTTCTAGATTCTCTTCTTCTCGTCGTTTTTTTATTCCTTGTCGTTATTTGTAATTTATGTCGTTTTCTCTTGTCATAGTTTTTCAATGATTTTGCTCCTTTTATGTTCATTCATGATTGACAACTTTTTTTTTTTTTTTTGGCTAGAAAATGTCCTATCAATTGACAATTGCAACATATAATATAGGATACTGATTACTTAGGCTCCTTTTATCGTTTCCGTCCATTTCGTTGATCTAATCTTGTCGTTCTCTTCCGTCATCATTTTATGATTCTTTGTCATTTTCATAATTAATGTCGTTTTCTAAATTTTCGTGGTTTTCTAAATATTGTTGTTGTTGTTGTTTTTTTTTTTTTTTTTTTTCTATTTTATCGTTTTCTAGATATGGTTTTCCATTCAATTTAGTCGGTTCTCATTAACGTTGTCGTCTTACATTGATTCGTCGTCTCTCAAAGTCCTGTCCTCTTTTTTTCGTCGTTTTGTTCTATTTTCTGTCGTTTTTTTGTTTTATCTGACTATCTGAGTGAATAATATTCAAGTTTTGACATTCAAAATATATATATTTATATATATAATTTTTTTTTTTAATAATCTGCTTGTGGGTTTGTGGGTTCAGGTGTATGGATATAGGATGTCATTATGGGCAGAACACATAGGAGGTTTGGAGGAAATTTTCAAGAGACCAGAGAGCCTTGAATGTGTGAGGAGAGTAAGGTCTCTTAGTGAGCAGAATTGGAAACAATACATAGCTGATGAAGTAACAGAAATGAAAGGCCACCTTATAAAATATCCAGTTGAAGTTGATAAATTTGGTAAAGTTAAGAGTATTCCTGGCTGTGAGCAATTTCCAGATGTTGGTGGCAACATAATTGGCACATTTGCAGGCCCTCAAGAAAATCTCACCATTTGATCTTCATTGCATAATAAACCAGTAAATAAATAAGTCTCCCCTTTCATCACTCCAGTTTTACACCTTTGTATTGAAATATATATACACACACATGTATATATATATATATATGATGTTTAGGCAATTTTTGAGTTCTTAGGAAACACTTGAATAGTTCAAAATCATTTGTTATTAATGAGCTTAGCTCATTGTTCATGTGACAACAACAATAGTAAAAATAATAATAATAATAATAATAATAGTCTTATTTACATTTGTTTTTTTATTATTATAATGAAATTACTTCTTTAAGGTTGATTTATCCGTGAATTTTGTATGGTGTGTATGTGTGTTTTTAAAAAAAGATTAAAAAAACCCAAAAATGACGTTTGGATATGTGGGTCCTACCTGACCTATTTTTCATTTATTTGTTTATTTGTATTTATTTTTACTTTTTGTGGGTAAGAAAGTATCAACTTTGGTACTTTTTGTTCTACTTAAGTCGAGACCACCCATTCTTTTGGAAAAGTAGATTCGTATCAGAGTCGGCCATGATCGGACAACGAAATCTCTGCACTTTTTTGCCACCAGTCCTATTGTAATTGTCTAGATTTCAATCTAAAGTTAATATTGTATTTCCTCTCTTCTTAAAACGTCTTATTGACCACAATTATATGTATATCTTTTATCTTAAAAAAAAAAAAAAAAGCTGAACAGTTTATAGACCTATGAAGGATGGAAATTGGAAACTTTTGGATTGGAGCTAAGATTTAATTTTTCTCAAATTTTTTTTTTAAATTTTTCTGGGGCACTATTTTGGGGACTATGTAATATGTATATATCTTTATTCATTATGTATAAAATGGTATGGGAAAAAAAAGAATTGGAGAAAACAGAGATAAAAAAGAAGGAAAAGTAAAATGGAGAGAAGAGGTAAGAATAAAACTTTAGCTAATTAGAATATTTGCTTATGAAGCTTGTTTCCATGAACTCTCAAGCAACGTTTCTCCAAATAGATGCTCTTTTTATATTAAAATGTATGAAAGTAACTCTTTATATTAAATGCAAAATATTGTCTAAAAAACTTAATTGATTGAATATATAAAGTTGTGGTAATTACCTAATATGAATCAATCCAAAAAAAAAAAAGAAAATGTCATGACAAACCCTTTTTTTTTTTTTTTTTGGGGGGGAAAAAAAAAAAGAAAATGTCATGACAAACCCTTTTTTTTTTTTTTTTTGGTGGGTGGGGTTTAGAGAAAAGCATCATACATCTTGCCAAAAAGGAAAAGTTGGACATCTCACCTTGTTGCAACTAGTACACCTGAATGCTGGCCACAACCTCAGCCTAATTTGCTGAGACATTTTACCTTCACTGCTTTACAAAAAGATAGGAAAATCCATTTAAGATAAAATCCCATCTCTTGTTGTAAATTACAGAATTGCCTTCAAAATAGCCCACCATTTAAGATATTTTTATAGCAAAGTCGGATCCACAAGCAATGAAAGGCATGCTTGATATTGGTTTCTGCAAATTGGTTTTAGCCCTCTTGGCGTTCAACTTCTACTTTAAGGTTTCGTTTACTTCACGGATTCAAGTTTTTAATTCTAGCTGAGATGTGACATTTTCTGAGAGTTTTTCACTGTAGCAAAAAAAAAGTTAGATGTGACATTTTTCTGAGAACTTTTTACTGTAGAAACCTAGAACTGAAAACTCGAATCGGTAAAATGAACGAGGCATTATGTGTTAAACTTATCTTTCAGGAAGGGAAAAAAAGGTTCTTTCAAGAGTTTCACGTTAAATCCACAAAAAAAAAAAAAAAAAAAAAAACCCCTCTTCTAAAAATACTTTAAAACTTAAGAAATTTTATATAGTTTGAGACTTAGGGGACGTTTGTTTCCTATATTCATCCATGATTCTGAATCATGATTCATGGTTCTTTATATTATTTTTTTCTCATAAAAAATACACGTAAAACGATAATGATTATGAATCTATAAACCAAACATCCTCTTAAATGAAACTCATGTACAGAGAGGTGAGGTCTGGGGAATATTTTTTAAACGAAATGTTTCGTCTTTATAAGGACAAAATTATGGAGCGCCGTCGACGTTTTTAATATAGTAAATATATATATATATATATAATATTTTTATATATGTGTGTCCCCCTTGATGATTACTTATAAAGGTGGTTGTGATACGGTGAATTATATGTTTCGTAAGAGTTTTATATTTGAATGAGACTAATTTTTATACCCTATAAAAGAAGTTCTCATATTAGAGGCATCCACATGTACTTGAAATATGGCACCCTTTCCATGTGTATGACCCATATGCATCACGATAAACTCATATACTAGAGAACAAAATAACATCAACGAAAAATTAAATTATATTAGAACTTAGACCACAATAAAAGTAGTTAAACTCCTCCTTTTTAAAGGCATTTTATTATAAACAAGCAAAAGAAATATTATTTTTATTAGTAAAATTTTTATTAGGTTACTAATTGTTCACCACAAGTTCAAGTTGACAATTTATGATACTAGAATTTTTTTTTTTTTTTTTTATCTATTCATGCTTTGGTTACATCACATTTGATTTGAATATGATATTTTTTTCATCATTTTTTGCGTTTGTATTCGTCTTAAAATGCATATAATATATTCCCCGTTGAATTACTGCCAACTTGTATACTTATTCCCTATGTATATGCCTAAATATAATAGTAATACATAAAAGTGACAGATCAGACAATCAAAAACAAGAAGCAAATAATATAGCATGTGGACATTGAGCACACAATGGTGAGAGAGACGTGGCCCGTGGATTTTTTTATTAATAGTTATGGATCTCAATACCTACTCTTTTTTTAAGATAAATTGCACGAATAGTCCTTCAAATTTTTTTAAAAGTGACAGTTTAGTTTTTAATTTTTTTTTTGACGAAATGAATCTTAAACTATTTAAAAGACTGTAATATAATCATTTCCGTTAGATGTCTCGTTCAAAAAATAACGGAATAATAACCTAAAAGGGTGACATTATGGTCTCTTACTTCTTTATGAGGTGATTTTTTTAGTTTTAATAGACTTTAATAGGTTATGATTTGATCCTTATTTTTAAACGACATTTAACGGAAATGACGATATTACACCATTTTAAATAGTTTATAGCTCATTTCATCCAAAAAAAAAAAAAATTAAAGACCAAACTCTTACATTTTGACAAGTTTAAGGATCATTCGTGCTAATTACATTTTTTTTTTTTACCTTTCTTCCCAAAGAAAAAAAAAAGATTCGGGGATCTCTATGTAAAAGTACATATAACACGTTTATGCACTCAGAAAAAAAAAACTTGAGACGTTTGGTTCATGGATTCGAATCATGTGATTAGAATTATTTTCGATTTACGTGTATTTTTTGTAAGAGAAAATACTGTAACGAATCATGAACCATAATTCAAATCATGATTTGAATCCTCCAACCAAACACCCCAATTACCATCTCTCTCTTTCTTTTTTAAAGACGACCCACTTGCACTTGAAAATTATATATATATATATATGCGAGAGCGCTTCTACCATAAAAAAAATATTAATGATAAAGAATAACACGATTCTGCCCAAAAAATGGCACTCAAACTATAAAAAATCCCCCACCCCCTCTTTTTTTTTTTAATTACAGAACCCTTACACTTAGAAATTACAAAAAAAAAAGTCTTTAGTTTTTAAATTTGTTTCAAATTCTTTTCTTTATTTGATTTGGAGAAAAAATTATAGTCCTTATAATTTATTCCAATTGAACATCAATCTAAAAAGTGTGTTCAATTGGAATAAATTACAAAAGCATGATTCAAATTGGAGTAAACACGATTTAAAAAAAAATAAGAAATGCCATGTTCAGCTGCAATCCGCAGCTGTTCATAGTTGTCAACGTGGCACCCAATTAATGCCATGTTCCCTCGTACTCTGAATCCACATGTACCTTATTTTTTCCTCAACAGGACACACACATATATATACACACACAAAACACACATCTTACACATGTAAGAAGAAAAACAAAAGTTTTGAAATCGGATTCAGATCCAAATCTGAAATCTCGCTCACCAATTCTTCTCTTCTCTCTCTCTCTGCTCGGCAGCTATGGGGTTCCCGGCCAACGGAGTAGACAAGAAGCCTCTGAAGTTCCTGATCTATGGCCGCACTGGCTGGATTGGCGGCTTCCTCGGCAAGCTCTGCGAGTCTCAGGGTCTCGACTTCGTCTACGGCTCCGGCCGCCTCGAGAACCGCGCCTCCCTCGAGGCTGACATCGCCGCCGTCAATCCGACTCACGTCTTCAACGCCGCCGGCGTCACCGGCCGCCCAAACGTCGACTGGTGTGAGTCCCACAAGGTCGAGACTATCCGCACCAACGTCGTCGGAACCCTCACGCTCGCTGACGTCTGCAGAGAGAAAGGCCTGATTCTCATCAACTATGCCACTGGATGCATCTTCGAGTACGATTCCGGTCATCCCCTCGGGTCCGGAGTCGGATTCAAGGAGGAGGATTCGCCGAATTTCATCGGATCGTTCTATTCCAAGACCAAGGCTATGGTGAGAGTTTACTCTTTGGATTTTCCGTTTTTGTCTTTCAATTTTGGTTCTTTCGATTGGTGTGGTTGTTTGTTTTTGGTTTGGAGGCGTTTGAGTGTGCGGTTTTAGCTTGAATTCGGTCTGTTTATAGATCTGGCATTTTTGTTTTGGATCTGTCACGATGTGTATTTGCATTGTTCATCTTCTGGATTGAATTCTGTATGTCAATTTTGAACAGTAAATGTTACTTTAATAAGCATAACAGTGTGATTCAGGAGCTTTCATTAGTCTTAGCTTGAATATGTTGAGCTGGATCATAGACTGTTAATGCTGTTCTGAGTCTGACTTCGAAAGGACGTAATGGCTACAAAGTTTCCGTTTTCCTTTCTCCCATTTAGATTGGCCTGAATCTGTTAAGCTGTCAATTAGTGTAATAGACTATGTTAATGCTGTTTTTAAGACTGTAACTGACTTCAAAAGGCCAGATTAGGTATCAAGTTTCGTTTTTTCCATTCAGAAAGGTGACTTGAGTGCTTTCAATAGTCTTAGCTAGACTCTATTAAGCTGACACTTGCTATGTTTAAGTTGTTTTTAAGATTCAAATCGTCTTGAGAAGATCATAGTCGCTACAAAATTTACCCCCTTTTTTTTTAATTTGTAATGTTTTCACCGGTTAATGTGTTGGATTTACAATTTAAAGGGGTATTTTAAGTCTATGTTTTGCTGATTTCAGTTTTGGGTTTTTCCTGGTTCTTATGAAGGTTGAGAATCTGCTCAAGAACTATGAAAATGTTTGTACTTTGCGTGTTAGAATGCCTATTTCATCAGATTTGTTGAACCCTCGCAACTTCATCACGAAGATCACTCGGTACGAAAAGGTTGTCAACATCCCGAACTCCATGACGATCTTGGACGAACTCCTGCCCATTTCTATTGAGATGGCAAAGAGAAATCTGACTGGAATTTGGAACTTCACGAACCCTGGAGTGGTCAGCCACAACGAGATCCTGGAGATGTACCATGACTACATTGACCCAAACTTCACATGGAAAAATTTCACTCTTGAGGAGCAAGCTAAGGTGATCGTTGCCCCTCGAAGCAACAACGAGCTTGACGCCACAAAATTGAACAAAGAATTCCCTGAACTCTTGCCCATCAAGGAATCCCTCATTAAGTATGTTTTCGAGCCAAATCAGAAGACTGCCAAAGCTTGAAACTTTTTTAGGTTTGAACTTTTCGGTTTCCCTATTGCTATTTATTCGATTCAAGTTCAAGAGCTCGATACGATTTCTCCACTATACCACCTATCTTTCCCTTGTGGCATATGTGCAATTGGCCCTACTTGTATTTGAATGTTATAACTTCAGTCAAACGAATAAACTAGTTGGAAAGTGATTTATTAATTTGAAATTTTGTAAGTTTCGGTGGTGTTGTAAGTTGTACGGGAATGTCATATATTGTGATCTCTGGCCTTTTATTAATCTGCTTGTTTTATGTACTATTATTTTTGGTCATTGGCCTATTGTCAAGACGGATCAATAAACGTGCCCTTTCTCGATGGAATAACTTGTATTGATTGTTGAACAATTTCTTCATGATGTAATGCGAGTTTTATTTTATTTTTTGTTCATGTTCTCTTGACAGTTGGCTTGTTTGCAGTATTTAGATCATGTACTCCTTTTTAAGCCTTGAACTTGTGCACGTTCTCTGTTAAACCTGTTCATCTTTGCTGTGATGAAAAAGGAACTTCTAAACCACTCAACAGGATCCGTCGGCCCTGGTTTGAACCTCTGTAAGAACTTCTAATAACTGGTTAGCTCCGTTTAGCAGAGTTTTTGCTTTTGCTTTTGGTCATTAGGAGAAGAGAAGTAAAAGTTGTGATTTTTAAGTGAGTTAAAGTGGGGAAAAAAAACATGAAGCTAGTGATGTCTTATTTACACTCAGTACAAGTTTCAAAAGAGGTTGTTTGAGAAGTCACATTTTGTGATTTTAATTGAAAACTCTGGAGAGCAAAACAACTTCTGCCAGAACATCTAAACACTAACAAAAGCAACCTTAAACACTAACAAAAGCAACTTTTGGTCTCAGGAAGTCAAAACCAGCTTTTAAGCAATTCTGCCATACAGACCCTTAGTTTAATATGGGATCTGCATGAGAAAACCAAGGAAAAAGTTTCCAACCGAAACCTCAAGGATCAAGATAATTTCAATCTAAGTAGAAATATAAAAAATAATTTAGTATGATTAACCAAGATTAGTACAATCCAAGATCTTAGGGACAATGAGTACCCAAAAAAAAAAAAAAATCCATTAATTTCTGCTTTCAGAAAGTCGTCACTTGTCCCTAACAGCTTTATTTCGCTCCTTTTTTGTCGTTTCTACACATTACTCACCGGGGATAAATATGCTTTTGATGGCATCGTCAACTCCATTTTCATTATCATTATTTTCAACAAAAGCAAAGATGCGATTTAAACTAAGTATTCCATTGGCATGTCGCCACAAATGCATACAAATTAGCCTCATAAAACGACTGGTCACGGACAGAAATCAGTTGCACTTTTTTTTTTTTTCCTTTTAATTTAAAGGAGATTTATTTTGGTCTTGCAGGTGGAAAAGAGTATGATGGATTCACGACACATCAAATGCAGGAAAACCTCGAAGAGAGTCTAGTTGCGTCTGAAGATTCCATTTCTGGGATTCAAGGAAGAACCTTTGAAATTTGGTTTCTTTTCAGGTGCATCAGACTGGTAGTCCGAAGCAATACCAGGGATGTAGTTGTAGATCACAATTGGGCTTCTCACCTGATAGTACCCGTCCCTCCAGATGAGTGCACCGGACACGATATTCTGCTGTGCTATTGGCAGACCGGTGACCTTCACCGTGAAGCTTTTCTTCTCTCCAATGGCAGAGAATGACAAGACCGGTGGTTCCACGGAAACGCCAACATTGGCAGCCAGGAAAATGCTGATGTTATAGACCGAATCTGGTGAACCAACGTTGGTGACCGTCCTGGTGAAAACCGCATGGATACTCTCTCCATCTTCCACGGCAACTGAGAACGACGGATAGTTAAGATCCCAACCTCTCCCGGGCTTTGTGCTGTTACAAACAGTGGTATTGTCGCCTGTCAGAAGCCTTAAAGTGGTGGTGTTGTATCCCTGTTTGCAGAGGAAATCTATGTAATCTGCCTCGTACGCATCGTAGATGAGACCAGGGTCTGCTGCATATACTGGGTAGATCTGCCCCGCACCATAGGCGAATTCTTTATCCTCGTGCTTCCTTGGGTCCACAACAGTAGCTGTTTACATGGGGAACAAAGGTAGGGAATGGTAAGTAGAGATTTAAGTATAAGAGACAATTGGTAAGTCGTTTCTGTTAAGAGACAGTTGAGCAACCATTTAGGTTCTCATTTAACCCAGGAGAGTAATTATCAATCTAGAATTCATATCTTTCAGTGAGTGAGTTGTCTTGTAGTTATGGGCGTTTGTTCACCTGTGGTCATTAGCGCAGACTTGATTGCAGCAGGAGACCAGTTTGGATGGGCAGCCTTGACATATGCAGCAGCACCACTTGCATGAGGGCAAGACATAGAAGTGCCCGAAATTATATTATAATCTACTTGCCTCTTGTCGTCATAGTAGACGGAAGGTGGTGACACCGGAGACCAAGCAGCAAGAATGTCAACACCAGGAGCAGTGATATCAGGCTGCATCCATTTTCATCCGGCAAGATTTCAACAGATCAAAACATGGTAAGACGAAACAAAGTCAAAAAAAAAAAAAAAAGGAAAAAGAATTGTTTGAGACTTTTGATCACCTTGAGAATGTCTCCAGTGATGGGATTGGGTCCTCTTGAGGAGAATGACACTACAGAAGGTGCCATGGGGTCATACCAAGTCTCACCATACAGAATGGTTGCAATTGGGTTCCTGCAACGGTTTGATCAGTTCATTTCATTCAAACACTGAGTTGAGATTGTCACTTTTATAGAGAATACTAACTCTGTGTTTTTGATGTATTCCAAAACTTTCTTGCCATCATCTACAGATAGAGTTGTAGTCGGCAATGGGAAGCTGAACCCATCATCAATGGGGGTTGAAGGATCAGCCATGATGGTTCCAACACCATTATCTAACAGAACTCCAGAGCCATCCCAGAGAGCTTCACAGAAGACAATTTTCCCAGTTACTAGGTATGAATCCAAGGTACCAGGTAAACAATATTTTGCAATCTCTTTGTTTATTCCGGCCGAGTAGTTTGCGGCATCTCCTCCCCAGATCAAGGGATACGACCTCCCATATAGATCGAAACTGTTAATTGTGACTCCCTTTTGTCACATCACCAAAAACAAATAATATGGCATTAGTGGAAGTTCATTACAGGCAAAAGACCAAACACATTGTGTGATCCTTCAATTCTAACCACAATTTTCCTTAAATTTAAAGGAACTAATCTTTCATGTATTTCATTCTTGGTACTTGAACTCTGTCAGAAGTCTTGCTGAAGTCTCTTAAATTAAATATAGAAGAGAAAATTGTTAAGAAGAATAACGCGGGACCTTTTTGCATGTTTAAGGACTGCTGATCTTGATTCTGATGCTTTATGGGCTAAAAGAAGAGTTATGTTTTAGTTTTAAGTACCCAAAAATGCAATTCTGTGATATTCTCTTAATGTTAGTCTAGACAATATGATCAGAAGCTACTCACATATAAAACTTGTCCATTCCCCAGCACTGCTTTAGATATGAACTTTCTGTCAATAGTATTGGCAGCAACAGTTAGTATCCACGGTGCATAATTGCTAAGCACTAACGGTTGAGGCCCGTCGTTTCCAGCAGAGGCGGAGGTCAAAATGCCGTGTTTCATGGCGTGATAAGAGCCAATTGCAATGGGGTCCTCATAGTATGGAACTGTAAAACCACCACCAAGGGACACGGAAATGATGTCAACCCCATCTGCTATTGCATCGTCAAAGCCTGCGAGGATATCTGCAAGGGAGCAAAATCCTTCTCCCCAGCAAACTTTGTACACAGCAATCCTTCCATTCGGCACTCCACCTCTAGCAGTTCCGTTAGCAAGGCCAAAGTAGCTCGCCCCGGGCACTTCTCGGCCTGCAGCTGTCGAGGCAGTGTGGCTTCCATGCCCAAGGGAGTCTCGTGGGGATTTGAAGTCTATGGGTTCATAGAACCCATCAGCATTGTAGTACCGAGCGCCAATGATTTTGCTGTGAGTTTTCAGTTTGCATATTTGATTATTAACCGCTATATACTCAGATGTAATAAAAATAATAAAAATTAAAATGTATTTTGCAGCCAAGAGAAGAATACAATATGTGTCAATTGTCACACAGTATAAATCCTTATGTTCCGAATTTGAATTCAAATATCAGATGGAATGAGGAATTGACATCATGGGATATAAATGTAGGTCTTGTTGTTATTGTTGTATTGTTTTCTTATGCTCTGCCCCTCTATTTCCCCGAAGCACTTTTTAACGTCAAATCATATTAAAATCGCAAAATCTAATTGAAAAACGACCGTTGAAAAACAGCTAGTATTTTATTGTACCCTATCACAAAAATCAAACACGCTTATGTATACATGAGCAAGTTTTGTATTAAACTTAAATTTCCTTTTGTACCAACTAGAAAGAGAGCTTACTTGTTGCAGGTGAAGTTACCTTCACCTTGGCATTTACCCTTCCATTTAGCGGGCGGTGAGCCTAAACCGTCGTCGTCAAAACTCTTCGATTCTGGCCAGACTCCTGAAGAAAAAAAAAAGTGATTTAAATCACCACTATATATATATCCTATGAGTTTTTATTTTGCAGATTTTTTTTTTTTTTTTTGGGTGGGGATGGGAGGGTTCTTTTGAGAAATAACCAGTATCTAGGAGCCCAACGATAACTTCTCCTTCTTGAGCCGGTGGAAGTTTGGCACTTGTGATGCCCACAAAGTCCCACGATCTTGTCGTTTGAAGCTTGAATTTTCGGTTCGGAATTACCGAAACCACGCCTTCCATTTCTGCAAAACCATTTCAGAAACCAATCAGGTTCAATCTCTTTTCTTTATAAAGTCATTCCATTACTAGTCACACAAATGTTGTTTTTAAGAATCTGATTATCACCTGAGAACTTAGCAACCTCTTCATCTGATAATTTGGCAGCAAATCCATTGAAGCTCCTTCCATAACTATAGATATGTGACTCTTTGGCTTTTGAGGTACTGAAATTGCAAACAAGTTTTATGGTTGAGATGGTTCATGGGAGTAACTTGATAGGATTATGTTAGTAATTAGTAATCAATATAATAAGTGGTTAGTGGTTTGCTATGTTTGTTAAATAGTTACTAGTTAGTTAGTTCTTGGAATTAGTGTGAATAATAAGAGTTAGTAGTATAAATAGATTAGGAGGTAGAATAAGTGGGCATCGATTCATTTGTACAAACTTCTGAGTAGTGGAAACCTAGGAGAGCAAGGGATCTCGCGCAAATCCCCTTATCCTTCTGTAATCAACCTTCCGCCATTAATACAATCAAGCTTTCTGTTAGTTTTCTTCCTAATTCTGTCATAATACTACTGACCGTGGACTTGGAGCTTAACATTTGGTATCAGAGCACTTTCTTGGGTATAGAAATGGCTGGAACGTGTGGACGTTGGCAGCGACTAGAAATGCCAATGTTCTCAGGAGAATATCCAGATTCTTGGATCGTAAAAGTGGAAGAATATCATCAAAAAAATCAATTTTCAGAACGTGAAAAGATTTGGTTTGCAGAGGAGTTCATGGAAGATGAGGCACTAGATTGGTTTCAGTGGGAGGATAGAAGTGAACCATTTGTTTGTTGGAATGAATTCAAGATGAATTTGCTTCAACGCTTCAGACCAACACAAAGATTGCTTTCGGAAACGAATATGAAGGTTTGGCCACAAAACGTAGGAATGATTTCAGATCTTCATGTTTCTGGCAGTGGCTCGTCGCAACCAGATTTGGAACGTCAAAACCGACAAACGACCTTAGAGAAAACGCGAAGAGATTTGGAATCGCGTGAGGCCGACGGCACTCTAAGCAATTTTTCGCGATCTGGTGCGATATCGCTTAGATCTGAGTCAATCGACATCAATCTGGCGGCCAAGAAGATGGAAGAGAGGCTAGGTTCTGAGGAAGAACAGTTGAGCGCGGTGTGGGAAGGAATTTCGAAGGAGATGGACGGAGTTAAGGGCGATTTACAGAAGATTCCAGCCAGGGAGAAGAACGTGATGTTAATTTTAGGAAAATTGGATTTATTAATGCGGAACCAAGGGGAAAAGAGCCCGGGGATCAAGGGAACTTCGGAGGACCTACCTTCGTCCCATTCAAAGAGGACGGCGGAAGACGGCAGCGGAGGTGGATCGGGAACTGGGTTGAATCGGATCATTGAATTGGCTCAGAGGGTGGAGGATCGTAATATGGCCTTGAAGGTGGCTAAGGGAATGACATCTAGCACCTGGATACGACAACAACCTCACATTCAACCTTTTCGAAGCCAATCAGCAAGTTTACTCAAAACTGCCACACCAAACGACAAGTCGTATGGACTTTCTCCAAACGACAAGTTGTTTTCTCCAAGAGGTATGCCCTCTGTTAGACGTTTTTCGGAGATCCCGGTGGAACTTGGACCGATACGCGCGATTGCAACACGGAGGGGCCCGATTTCGGCCGGATTTGAACCGGGTCAGGTGATTCCTCCGAAATTGAGTGGGATCCCAATTGGATTTGGACCGGCTTGCGCGATTCCAGAGCTCGCGATGAGGGAAAGCGAGCTGGTCTGGGTGAAATCGCCCCAGATCTCGAAGACCCACGGCGGAAGGGGCTATTTCGCGGTGGGCTGTGGTCGGAGGGGGAGCGGTGGTCTCGCGCGGCGACGTTTGGGGCTGGGCTCACAATTTCTGACGCGGCTGAGGCTGGGCTTGGCAATTTGGCTGCGGTTTGGACTGGCACACATGATTCCGGCGATGTTGAGGCTGTTTCCGGCTGGTATAGTAGCGACCCACTCAATTCCGGTGATATTATGGTTAGGGCATGGAAGTTTGGTTCAAAACCTAGGGTCGGTGGGGCTGAGTTTCGAAATTCCGGCCAAATGAGAGCTGGGTCACGTGTTTCCGGTGTGGGCAGGACCGATTCTTGCGTGATTGGGTCTAGGCTGCGTAATTCCAACATTATTGGGCCTACTTCTGGCTCCATAGGGGTTGGGCCAAAAAATTTCAGCGAAAGTGGGACCAATTTCAACAAGTTATGTAATGGGTCCTCAAATTTTGGCCCAAATTGGACTGGGTCTGGGAATTCCAACACTCCTGGGGCTAGGGCTGGAGAAATTGACTTCATTGGAGTAGAACTTGGACACTCTGCAAATAGAAGATGTGATATTTTCGAGTTTGTAACTCCAAAAACTAAAATTTCTATGTTTCATGGACTAAACAATGGCTCTAATGGGTTTTTTGCTCTCGATTACACTTCCGTGGCACCTTTCCCGCCTTGGTTTGTCACCATTGAAGTTGGCTCTTCAAGGATTGCGATGCCCTTCAACATTCTGGAAGGTGGGCTTGACGACATGGGAAGGAGATGGCGTCATTCCACTGCGGTCACTTGACCACACCTTGAGGACAAGTTGTCTTGGGGAAGGAAGTAATGATAGGATTATGTTAGTAATTAGTAATCAATATAATAAGTGGTTAATGGTTTGTTATGTTTGTTAAATAGTTACTAGTTAGTTAGTTCTTGGAATTAGTGTGAGGAATAAGAGTTAGTAGTATAAATAGATTATGAGGTAGAATAAGTTGGCATCGATTCATTTATACAAACTTCTAGTAGTGGAAACCTAGGAGAGCAAGGGATCTCTCGAAAATCCCCTTATCCTTCTATAATCAACCTTCCGCCATTAATACAATCAAGTTTACTGGTAGTTTTCTTCCTAATTCTGTCATAATACTACTAACCTTGGACTTGGAGCTTAACATAACTGTTTTATCAAGTGCATGCATGCAGCCTTTATCCTAGATTTTATGTGTGTGTGTATGCTACTATTACTATCATTAACTACCTCCCAATTGGGAGGGTGTTCCTTCAATAATTATTGACAAAATTCAATGGATATATTAATAAACTTTTCTCTACTATTTTTTGCTACTTTTTTTTTTCCGCTCCTCTCTCATCATGTATGCTAGGTGCTAGAAAAAAGCCATATATATAGACCTTTTTTATTATTATTTTGCTATGACCATTTCTTGACTTGTGTGTCATAATAGTGCAAGCATTAATCTTCTCTGCATTGTCTCAATTTTGTTGGATATCTCAGAACGGACTTATATGTCGCAACTTATACAAGTAAGAAATATGACTCGATCAAAGCTATATTTGCTAGGAGTAAAATTATTTCCAAATATCAAAAGCCTACTAAATGTTTGCACTAGTTAGTTCAATGTCTCAAATTATCCCATGTCATGAAAACAACTCACACTTTTACTACTAAAATATTGTGACATGACGTACAATTTATAGTGTCATAGTCAATTTTTTGGATATTGAAAGGGTACGTAATGTATTAGTACTAGTATAGTATTAATGTTAGTAATCAAATAACCTTCCAAGCACAGTTTTTAGCATGGAATGGTGTGCAGCTGCAGCCAAAAATTCCCCTTGAGGCCGCTCTCCCATGTACACAACATGAACCTGTCGCCAAATATAAATTATGTATCCAAATACTTATAGATATAGACACATATACATACATATATATATATATAGATATATGCATAACATGATATATACAGTCTTATACCTTCCTTTCATCACCATGACAGTGCAACACAAATGCTGCAACCGATAATGCGTGTAGAAGAAAAGCTAGCTTTGCCTTTGCCATTGGAAAGAGTGTAAGTAGTACTTGATGTGCAGATGGTATTGTAAGTTTGAAATATTTATACCGTGCTTTAATTTGGAGCCTTTCTTAGCTAATTTTATATTATGTATAATATATATATATATGTATGCATATATATATATATATATGCATATTAATGTCCAGGCTGGTGCAGGCCAGGCATGCATGGCTCCTAGGCTAATGGTTTTGGTATTGTCGTCCATTAATTGAAATTTTTTAAGGGGAGGAATTAATTAAACTCATTTGGATAACAAAGAAGGCTTAAAAGCAAACAGATCATGTTAAGGACTAGAGTTAATCCTATAGCTGCAAAAATGTTTGGATGAGAATAATGCTTGTATAGGAGAGAATTTCTATGCCAGTTCTAAATGACCAATCCCTAATAAAATATTGAAAGAAAAAGGGATTCCAATATTGTTTATGTCGTCAATTTATTCAGTTTGTCACTAGTAATCCTCTGTTGTAACTAATGATACAAAATTATGCGACAAAACTTCGTAACATTGAGTTGTTTTCAATGATAAGCCGTACATATGTTTTGAACCGAATATACATGGAATCCCTTGTTAATATCATTTTATGGAAAACCATTTTTGTCTTTTTTTTTTATTTTTTTTTTATAGACAATGACTGATCGGCCCTCTTAATTTGCAGATTTATAGACGGTTTTTCTGCTTAACTTTCCCAATGTCTTCCTGATCAAAACCAAAAGATTTTGTCTGACCATAATCAATAGTGATGATCACTACCATGGATGTAAATGTCTTGGTAGAAATATTGATACTCTAAATTGAAAAAAAAAAGAGGAAAAATAAGGGAAAATTATAAAAAATCTAGATATTTATTTTAAAACGTATAAATATTTCTTTTTGTTGTTATGGGATATGATAACCATATAGAAAAATACAAAAATAAACACGTTTGCCATAAAAACTTTATACACATTAGATCTCAATGCCGAAAGGAAATCCTTTAAGGCTCAAACAAGATCAAGATTTTATCGTGATTCGAATAATATTGGTACCATAATTTCTAAACTATAAAATATAATAAACATGCTAAGTTATAAAAAATAAAAAAAAAATAAAAAAAACTATTTAGCTAATAAAAATTATGTTAATTATATGAAATATATAAATACATTAAATGCGGACTTTTTTAAAATAATAATAACACTAAAGTCTCACCGAAATCAATATTTTTATTGTTTTTTTTTGTTTTTTTTTTTTTTTTTGCGCTTTCAGGAAAACTCAGGCTAGCATATATTCAAGTTACAAACTTGAGATCGTAAGTGCTCTTACACCAAATTAATTACCTGAACCCAGCTTGAAGGATATCCTATTAAAAAAAAAAGACGTGTTCTTAATGCCTACTATAAATCCATAACAAGTTCTACTCAACTTTAGAGATATTAATTCCAAGATCCCCTAAGTCGCGTGAATCGTATCCCAATATTAATAGCAATAATTTCTGGTGCAACATATATATACATATTATGTATGGACGAGTTTTCACATCACTATTTAAAGACAAAAAGAGTGAAATATATGACGTAATAAAAATCTAATTTCATTAATATTTGTTTATTAATTATCTAATTTATAATAATT